ACACACACACACACACACACACACACACACACACACACACACACACAAAGGCTTTAATGAAGTACAGTTTTAAAGGAGGAAGTAGCTTAAGAACCCCCTGATCCATAAGCCCTGTCTTTAAAAGGGCAGACCCATGGACCTGACAGGGTAGTCAAAGATTGCAGGTGGCAGAGGTTGCTTTGGCATTGTGAGGTCCTGTATACAGTGTCAAATGAAAAGGGCTGATAACTGGAAGAGCCAATGGGCCTTAGAAGTTGTGGGTGAGAAGAAGGAAATCAAAGCCAAGTCCCTGGGTCAGCTACCCATTTATACTCTCTAAGAACTTGTTCCCACCTCCAGCTCCAAGCTTGGTCATTCAATCCTTCATTCCTTCTACATTTCATTCCCCTGTTCCTCCTGTTTTGGTTTCTTTTGGAAGCAGGGTCTTATATGTAGCCCAAGCTGGCCTTAAGCCTCTCAAGGGCTGGAACTTCAGGCATACACCAGGATGTCTTTTAACATGACATCCACCATTCCTTGGAGTCCCCTCTTTCTCTCTTCTCCCCTCTTTCCCACTCTCACTGTCTTGGAAGTGTCATCTTCCTCCACCCAGCCATTAGGTACTGAAGGACTAGAAAGGTACACCTAACCTATTTTTCCTGCCCCTACTCTGGTGCCAATTTCTTCCATACTTATGACCAGCCATATAAATCAAGCTCAGACCTCTACTCTCAGCTATAGACAAGACCTATGAACCTAGATGCCCAACTTGTGTTAACAACATATCAATCATCTGATTTTACCAATAAAGACTCAGGAGCCAGATGCTGGGGTGAAAGCCTGCTAGCTCAGAGAGGCAGAGGAAGCCCCAGCTGACCTTTCTCCTCAGCCAATGTCCCAGAAGGAATCCTCAAACAGGACTCCTCAAACTGAAGGTCCCTCCCTTCTACTTCCTATGTGTTTCTCTATCCGATCTTCTGACTTCCTCTTACTCTATTATGTTTCGTTTGTTTGTTTTTGCCTCATTTTTCGAGACAGGGTTTTTCTGGGTAGTCTTGGCTGTTTTGGAGTCACTTGGTAGACCAGGCTGGCCTAGAACTCACAGAGATCCACCTACCTCTGCCTCCCTTAGTGCTGGGATTAAAGGCGTGAGCTACCATGCCTGCTTTTCTATGTTTTTTGTTTTGTTTTGTTTTGTTTTAATGATCCTATGTTCATTTCCTGGCTTGCTTGTTCCACCTCTTGACCTACGGTTGACTTTATTTAATCCTGTTTACAATACTGAAGTAGAAAGCTCTTGGATTAAAGGTATGTGCTAAGGCTGAGCCACACCACAACTAAAAACAGTTTTTCCTAGTAAATAACACAATCTTGGGGCTCACAGTATGATCAAATGTCCTGCAACAAACTGGACTCTCCCACTCTGTTTCTCCAAAGGCACCTTGAATTTGGCATATTTAGAACTGAATTCACAAACCCCACACCAAAACTAAGGTCTCTGCCAGTGTCTGCTCCTTTTAGAGGAGGGCACCACTAGCCATTTGATACTCAGTCAGTCCAGTGCCACGGCTCCGGAATGACTCCTTCAAGTCATCCTTAAAGCCTTTGCTTCTCACCCTACTGTCAAGCAATCACCTACTGGCTTACGCTCCTTTTCAGTCGTGCTGTTGTCTAAGACACTCTTATTACCGGTTACCTTGAAAGGCAAGATCCTCCTGCATGCCCTATATCTTCTTCCACCTGCTCAACATCTTTCTTCATGGTACAGCCTACATTCAAATATGTTCAAGAATATTCCTGAAGAAACATACATGGTTTGGGTAAGTGTCAAATGTGCCCCACAAAGGCCTAAGTGCTAAAGCCTTGATCCCCAGCCCGTTGTGCTTCTAGAAAGTCTAGAACCTTGAAAAGAACAGAAGGCGGTCTATCCCGAAAAGGGACTGTACAGCTTGAGCTTCTTCTCTTTTTGTCCCCAGGGCATGGAGTGGCTTTGCTGTGCCACAGGCTCCTGTGTGATGTGAAAAAGCCAACCAAGCACGAACAAAAATACACTTCTTCTCTTTGTATGCTCATCACTTCAGGTGTTTTCTATAGCAACAGAAGCTGACCAATGAAAATGGTTCCCTGCAGCTCTTCCCTTGAAGACTGTACTACTGTCCTAAGCTAGGGGTCTCTCAGCTTGATCACTGCCCACCTCTCTGCCTAGGCCCACACAGCTAGCCTTCTCTCAGTGCCTCCCAAGTACCACAGTGTCCCTGCTCTGGACCCTTACACACTCCCTGCAGCTGAGAGTGGCCTTTCCCTGGCCTTCATTTAGCTTGAGCACATTCACTGCTAGTCACATTTCTCAGTTCATATGACACTTTCAAGGTAACTGTGTTTTCTTTCCTCCCATGTTCCTATGTTGAGGAAGCAGGGTCTCTCTGTAGCCCTATCTGGCCAAGTATAAACTATACAGCTCACTGTACTTGCACAATCCTGTTTCAGTTTCCCAAGTCCTGGGATTACAGGTGTCACTACATCAGGCTTCCCAGGAAGCCTTCTCTGCTCCCCTAGACCAAATGAAAGTCTTCTGTCACATCTTGTGCCTTCCTTCCCATTAGAGACTTAGTTTATTATCACATTTGTTGACTGGCTCCTGATTCTCTATTGGAGGCTCCCATAAAGTCCATGAAAGCCAGGCTGTGGCCATTGTTTCCCAGGACCCACCACGAAGCCTGACATAATAGGTTTCAAAGGCAATTGTTAAGTAAATAAACAAATAAATGCATGGCACTTTGAAAGCATGGCCTCTTGCCTCAATTCGTTATTTGTAAACAGGTATTAGTGTAACTGAACACATAGATTATCAAGAATTAATGAAGGTTGGAAGTAGAACTCAGTGGTAGAATACTTGTGTCTTGTATACCTGAGGATTTGAGTTTGATCCCCAGTCCTACATACACAAACACACAGACACACATGCACATACACACACACTTAAATAAAATAGTGTGTAAAAATCTTTACACTTTTTCAATAATGATGCCTGCGCCAATTATGCTTACTGCTTCCTTCTCTAGTTGCTCATGGCTCACATTTAAGGCTGCTGTATTGAACTCAGCACCAGGTTAATGCCTGGTGTTTCCAGCCACCCAAACCCACCGAAGCTTTCCCACGGGGTGGGTGGGGAGGAAGTCTCCCTCTGTGCCCAGCTCAGCACTAGTCCTGCGGAGATGTTCACCGAAACATGCACACTGGAGCCACAGGCAGGACACAGGCTGAACCAGAGCCCTAGGGAGGTGGGATGAATTCTGGAAGGCAGGGAGATGCCATGTGGGAAGGCCCAAGAGAAGCTTTCTTTAGAAAGCACAGGGTAGGCACAGAGCTCTGGGACTGGGGGAAGAGGGCACACATACCAACAGGTTTGGCGACAGGCACGTTCCCCAGGTAATAGACTTGGAACTTCTGCACCAGCTCATTCTTAGGTGCTGGAAATTCCACTGTGGGAAGAAAAAGGTCAACTGTTCTCCTAGCCTGCAACACCAGCATGTAAGCTATGCATCTGCCCAGCCAAATCCTCACTCCCACTTTGCCCTACTCCCTCTACAGAAGCCTCTCTACTTATGTAAAATATCTCATCTCCACGTGCTCATGTCTGCCCAGGAACCTTTCGTCACTTCACCTAACTCACGAAGCTGGGCTGGGCCTTAGGAGGCTGTGGCACTTACCTTGAAAAGGGACATCCACAAGTTTAGAGTGGTCCAGGGAGAGTCCATTTACCAAGCAGCGAGCACTGCGCCGTTCAGACATGATCTGAGGAATGAATGGGGGTGGGGGTGGGATCTGTTAGAGCCACAATGTCCCAAAGCTCCCACCTCACTCCCCACCAACTTAGCAACCCTACCCACACCCTCCTAGAGCAAAGGTGGCAGCTAGTCCAGGGAGTGGAGGGGCCGTGCCTTGGAGCAGATCTCATGCAGGCTGGTGGCGATGTTCTTGGCAGGTGCCTCACAGCGAAACACGTGGCACTTGAGCATCTGGGTCAGTTTATCTCGAGCTACGTAGGCAAAGTCCCTGTTGGGGGAGGGTCAGCTCAGTATCCCTAGAACCAAGTGTCAAGCCTGGCCACCATTCCACCCTCCACCTCCCTGTGCACAGCAGCTCCTACAGGTTTTCCACCCTGCTCTTCCGTAGGTTCTGCCTTAAGGAGCCAAGGAGGACAGATAGGCAAGCGTGCTGAGGTGGGGGATAATACCCAGCACAGCAGGCAGGAAGGGACAAGGCACAGTGGGGGAGCCTGGGAGCTTCCACACATCCAGTCCAGGCGTGGAAGAGGGCACAGTCAAAGAAGATGCGCGTTAATACCTTTCTCTGGGTCCGGCAGCACAAGAGAGCCAAAGAACAGATTAGAAAAGATTCTGACTGCCAGATGGATGACCCCCAAGCCCCCCAACCACCCCACACTCCCGGTGCCCTGTGCCCACCTTCCACTGTCCCGCCCAACGCCCCATACACGAATGCTGACGATGGGCTGGACATGCAGCAGTGCCTGGCTCTGTGGCTCCACCAGCTTTAGGGTCTCATCCTCCAGCTGGAGCAGCAGATCCTTCCCCTGCAAAGCAGGAACTCAGTGGTACCACGGTGGGAAGGTGGCAGCTCTCTGCCATCGCCAGCTTAGGGGACGCTGCCCACCACTTGGGAGGAGAGGGCTTACTTAGCTATCAGAGTAGCCACCTGGGGGTCTTATTCTAATAAAGGTTCTCTCACGACCCATCATCACTGTTAGGCAACCACCCATCATGGTGCCAGGGGTACCATGGGGTTACACATCCATCCCACAGGGCTACTGCTACACCAGTACCCACGCCCATGTCCCCATCAGCCCTCTCCGAGGCAAGTCAAACCCTCCGTCTGGTGGCTCGGGTCCTCACCTCTCCCCAGCCCCCAGACATTGGGTCATGGAGGTTGTTTTTGTGGTAGGAGAGCTGACGGATACAGTTGTTGACGGCCACGCTGCTGCGACCCGGGGCCAGCTCCTCCTCCGTCATCTCTACCCAGCCTAGAGAGCGCACTGCGAAGCACTGCCAGACACAGAAGGAGGTAGGGATGGAGATCTGAGATGGAACTGGAGGTGCCTCAGTCACAGGACAGAGGCGCTCCTGACTTGGAACACAGAGGGCAGGGGGCACTCTGAACTAACATTTGGGGAAGCTCCCCAAATGAGACAGGAAGAGATATGTGCTGATGTGAGCTTCGGGAGTCCCTAGGAGACCCCTGGGCCAAGTGACTGAAACCCTGAATCTGTCATTCGACTGTCCAGCTCACACACAGTCTTGTGCTGAAACTGGGACTAACCCTCATTTCGGAGCTTTGCTGAGACCACAGACACACCCATAGCACAGCACTGCGGCCTCTCCTCCACACAAGGGCCTGCTTACAAAATGGGTGCTGGTCTTGAACAAACCTTGACTCCTGGGTTGGTGTTTCGTTGGGGCAGCTTCTCCTCCTCTTGGGGCAATGGCTCTGGGCTGGAGGCAGATGGGAACACTTGACATAGCACCCCTATTTTTAGAGTTGTCCCAACCCCAACACCCCTTCTAAACCCACTACATCTGGTGACTCACCTGAGGCTCTGAGCTGGGAAGGGCAACGTCCCCTCCTCAGGGTCCTTCAGTCCCAAATCCATTGGGGCCTCCTCATTGGGTTCATCCTTTGAAAAGGGATTGAGGAATCAGGCCCCAAATGAAGCCCCTTTTCCAGTTACCCCACAGTGAAGCTGGTTGTTTCATTTACCTTCCAAAACTCTCCTTCCTCAAAGCCTTCTTGGTGAGCAAAGCCAGTCCAGGTGAGCTGAAGGAGGAAACAGTGTGGGGGTGGTAGTTCCACCATGCTCTACAAGCACACCCCCCCTCCACCCCTGGCATGGAACAAGCCACTGAGCCTCACCTGAGATTCTTCTTGGGGACTACTCCCCTGTGAGGGGGAGGCCCGGCCTGGGGGTTCCCACTGGGTGGTCCCTGTTGGGATGTGCCAGTAGTAGGTCCCTGAGGTGTCCTGGACCCTCATCCATCCAGCCGGCAGATCGGAATCCGTCTCGAAAGCGTTGGGGTTCCAGAAGGAATCTGCCAAGTAGGAGACTCAGTGAGGGTCAGCCCACCCACCAGGCAGGCAATAGATGACCAGTCCCCTTCCCAAGACCCCATGGCTGAGCTGGCAGAATGGTTCCTGCCTGCTTCCAGAGCGGACAGCTCAGTCACCACATTGGGAGCCACCAGTGGGGAGCTTGGCTCAGGTCTCCTGGGCCCTGCTGCCGCCCAGTGTGGCCACATGGAGGGAAAGTAGAAAGCAGAGAGGAAGGAGAGAAGAGAAGGAGGTTGAAAGGCCCCAGCTCGCTTCCTCATGCATCATGCATATCCACTATGTCTGTCTATAAAAGGCACACACACTGCCAGCTCCTGCACACACCCGTGCGCACAAACTCACAGTGCAGGTAAGCCCTACCACACACCTGGGCAGCCGTAAACAGTGCCCAGCCACATACAAAATTCTGGAAGGTGTCACATATAGGTGGGCTTGTGAGTTCAGGGGCAAAACACATAGCAGCACCAGTTACTCACTCCTGTAGAGCCAAGCATATACATATATATATATATGCATATATATATATACATATATACACACACACATATATATATATATAAGCCAGCCCTACCAACAGGTGTGAACAAATCAGTCTAACAAAAGCTCCCAACATATGTGTGAGTGCCACACATACAGGTGGAAACACACTGAGACACAATACATGACCAACCCCTGCTACCTCTGTGCAGACACACACACACACACACACACACACACACACACAATATATCATGCACACACAGAGACTACATATCTGTATATCCAGCCCTCCTCTCCTGCATCTACATCACTCTGCCCCTGTCACCACACCATGTGCCTTCCACCTCTGCTCTCCTTCCTGGCCCCACCCCACAGCACACCCAGCTTCATACTGCCCCTCACCTGGACTGTTGTCCTGCAGGATGATGGCCAGGAAGAAGTCCTGGGAGAACATGGCGCTCACTCCCTGCCCCTCCTGCCTTCACCCTCCCTCCTCACATCCCCTCCAGCCAGCTGGGCTCTCAGCCTGGTGCTGGGCTGCAGAGAAAAGCTCATCCCGCCCCCTTCTCACCAGGGCAGAGCGTCTGCCAGGCAAGATCCTCCTCCGCCTGGAGTTCTTGAGGGAGGGACCAAGACCACCATACCATGGAACCTCCTTGGGATGGATATGGGTGAGGAAGAGGGATTTATAAGACCCCAGGTCTGCTCTTTCTTTACCCTGGCACCCCTCCCCAATCCTGAATCTCTGCCCCACCCTCCAGCGGTGACATCAAAGCCACAGTTAAGCCAGTCTTACAAACAGCAGGAGGCTCTGCCTCTTGGGAATGGTCCAGTCACCTGGGGCCCAGCAGAATCTATACACAACACAAACAGGGTGTGGCTTCCACACCCTCAGGGATCCCTCTCCTATCTAGACCCTATCCTGCACTTTCAACTAAAGGGTGGTCTTTGAGGACCTCAGTCCTAGCAACCTGGAAGATTTGAGGCTTCCCAGCACCGCCCCCCTCACCTGCCAGGGCCCAGCTAGGCTGCAGCGTCTCCTCGGCAACCGCAGCACCGGGATGGCTGGGAGTGCCCAGACTGCTGACGTGCTTCCCGTTACCAAGGAAACCAGGAATCCTGACTGGTCCAAGAGGCAGCACAGAGGCTTAGGCAGTCTCAAGACCCAGGCAGCTAGGTACCAGGGCACAGAGGGTCTGGGAGTGGGTGTGGCTAAAGCAAGGTGTTTCCACACCTGCTATGAGTTATTCAGACGAGGTGCTTCCCCACCCTCAGCCTGCAAATGAGGTAAACCCACAGACACCCAATGAAAAGGGAGCTCTTGCCCAGCCCACCTTCTAGATGCCCATCATGGTGACTCCACCCTCTACTATCCCCCTCTACTGGGGCTCAGCACACGTGTGTTTTCCCCAGACCCTTCCCTCTCAGGACTTTGCTGCTAAAACCTTCCAGGAACACCAACCCCAAGGGCCCCTTGCCCTCCACAGCCTGCTTCATGGTAGGTCAGGCATTTCCGGAATGTGGGGGCCAGTTCACTCTTTCCCCTGACTGAGTCATGTACACCAATCCATCTGCCATCCCTGTCAGCCTGTGCCTTCCTGCTTCAAAGAGCTTCATCCTTCCGATCTGTCCTGGAGGGGGCAGCTCTTCCCCCCTTGACCATCTGGGAGGCCCTTCTGGAGCTTGGCACGTCTCTCTTCAAGCACAATCCACCCGGGGCCTTTGCTTCCACACAGAAGCATTAATTCCACAACCGTACACTTTTCTGCAGGCACTCACACGAATCCAAATATCCCTATGGCCCTTCCTCCCTCCCTCCCTGCCTCCCTCCTTCCATTCATCCATAAAAGCTTTAGTGGTTTAGGCAGGCAAACTACTTTGCTCAGGAGACCAGGATTCGTGTAATGCTCTCCCCCACCCCACCCCCCAGGCCACATCACTACTACAGCCCAGACAACCAGCATATTTTGATCTGGATTACTGCAGAACCCTCTCAACTGGTTTCCTTCTGTCCCCACCACTGGCTGCGCACTATAGCCTGAATGAGCCTTAGGAGATGCCAAACTAATCAGGTTACTCTCCAGTTTAATACTCTTAACTGCCTTCTCATTACCCTCAGGACAAAATCCAAACCCCTGCACAGGTTTTCTGTACTATTAAGAGCCCCTAGCTTTCTGCCTCTCAGCCTTGCCTCTGACAACTCCCCATCTCCCCTAGCTCCCTGCTAGGATTCTAGCTATTACTCACTCCACCTTCAGACAACAGCGGAAAGGGAACTCTCACTACTGACCCACTCTTCCCCCCTTCCTCAGGCAGGCAGGGCGCCCTCCTGCTCCTCTACCCACCCACTTATCATCACTGATTATGAGTCTATTTCTGTTTCCCCACTGTGAGTACCAAGAGGGTAAGAACATCTCTGTCCTGTCTTAAACATTCTCAGCGTTTAGGACAAGGCCTTGCTCAGAGTGTGACTCCAACACAGGCAGTAAAGCTCATTCATCCTCCATTCACATAATTCACTCAATTCACGTAGTTCACTCACTCAACAACTACTCTGTGGAGATCCTTAAGTGGGAAGGAAAAGACAACTTTTGTTCCATCCTACCCCATTTCTACTGAGCAGAGACCCACCATCTGCCTCTCGCATGTCAGAGGCTGTGCAGAAAGAGCAAGAAAGAGGAAGAAAGAGCCAGCAGTAAAGAAACACCTACAACTCCCAGAACTCACCAGGGCAGGACTGGACTGCTGAGACCTCTCACCCCTCCACGGCCTCACTGACATCACTGGCCATACCCAGTTCACCCTTAGTTTTTCTGTACTGCCACTCTCCCACCTCAGAGGACCAGAAACGCTGCCACTAGTGACAACTCCCAGAACTACCAAGCAACCAAGCCTGTCTGGCCAGTGACATCCTGCCCAGGGTTGCAGCTAAACCATCTGCAGCCTGCAGTGATACATGCCTCAAAGAGATACGCATTCCTGCACAGCGCTTCTGAAAAACCAGAATTAGTTTCTGAGTTTCTGGCATTTAGAAACTGGGATAGTAGACATCAGAATCTAACTTTCAGCTTGTATATCTTTCCTCCAAACTCAGCCCGATAAACAATCAGCTTGATTGAAACGAAGCTGTTCCCTTTGAGAGGATGGAGACATTGACCAAAAGCCACTAACCTCACACAAAAAGAAACAATTAGACTTTACCTTATTTAAGGCACCACCAATGAGGTGCCCTCAAAAAAACAAAACAACAAAAAGCCACTGAAACCTGAACCTGATCAAGGTTCTAGAATTATCTACCAGTTGACAAGAAATCCAGAAGAGGGATATATTCAAACCACTTGGGGAGAAAAGTTTCAAAAAATCAGATCATAAAATACTGAGGACTGAAAATGTGTGTGTATGCAATCAAAAGAAAAATAAAGGGAGAACTTATATACATTCAAAGAAACTTTAGAGCCACGTTTTGTGGCTCAGGCCTATAATCCCAGCACTCAGAAGAGAGACAAGGGGATCACCACCAGTTTAAAGCTAACTTGGTCTTCACAGTGAGTTGTGTGTTCTAGGTTAGCCAGGACTACAACGTGAGTCCCTAACTGAAGCAAGTGAAAGAAAGAAAGGAAGAAAGAAAGAAAGAAAGAAAGAAAGAAAGAAAGAAAGAGAAGGAAGGAAGGAAGGAAGGAAGGAAGGAAGGAAGGAAGGAAGGAAGGAAGGAAGGAAGAGGGAGAGAGAGAGGGAGGGAAGAAGGAAGGAAGGAAGGAAGGAAGGAAGGAAGGAAGGAAGGAAGGAAGGAAGGAAGGGAAGGAAGGAAGGAAGGAAGAAAGGAAGGAAGAGAGGGAGGGAGGAAGGAAGAAGGAAAGAAAGGAAGGAAGGAAGGAAGGAAGGAAGGAAGGAAGGAAGGAAGGAAGGAGGAAGAAGGAAAGAAAGAAAGGAAGGAAGGAAGGAGGAAGGAAGGAAGAAAAAAAAGAGCCAGCAAGATGGTTCTTCAGGTAAAGGTACTTGCTGCCAAGCCTAATGGCCGGAGTTCAGTCCCTGAAGTCACATGTTTGGAAGGAGAGTACCTCCTGAAACTTGTCCTCCCTCCACATGCATGAGCATGTATTTAAAACAAAACTAAACTAAACTAAAAACTATAACGACTGTGGGGCTATTTAAGTATCAATTCATGTAGTTCTCAGCCTTTCAAAAGGCTGAGTGGGACATTTATTAGACCACGGGGAAAACAACGTTAACATTAAGTGAACATTCGATGATAGACGAATCACAGAGTTTGTTTTTATGTTTTTTTTTTTTTTTTATAACCTAGACTGGGGTTCAAGGCATTGACACAGCAAGATCAACTATGCTCTGATGATTCTAGAAAATGGGTAATGAATAAGTCAGACTCATTATCTCTACACTTGTGTGTGCTTGAAAACATTGTTAGGCTTTTTTAAAGAAAAGAGATGGGTGAAGCTCTTGGGTATCTGAAATGTATGTCCCCTGCCAGGAACCATTTGTAGGAGTGCAGGCACTGTTAGTACCTTGAGAAGTAAGTCAGAGTCTCTGTCTCTCCCTCTCTCTCAGAACCCAGGTCATGCATGCTAAGTGAGCGATCTGCCATCAACTTGTATCACCCCTACCAAAGCTTTTCTTATATTCCCTCCCTCAGAGCTTCTGGGCTGTAGCTAGAGCTACAGCAGAGAAATCTCTGCTCTGTATAACTTTACTAAATGGGTCACATTTAGTGATCAGTCTTTGTTCTCTAATACCCATCTCCCCAGAAGGATGCATCAGTTTATTCTTTCTTTGTCCCCTAACTTTTAGCCAGTATCTCATTCCTGGCAAAATGGCATCCCCGAAATAGCCCGCATGGTGCTCTGCATGGGGCATGTGGATCATAAGCATAAACCAACCCCCATACTTTCCAGACAGGTATCTTTGGGGAGATGCTGGCTGCTCCTTCTAGATGTGGATGTGACTGATAAAAGAGGGCGTTCTATGCCAAGCCCATCCTAATGCCCGGGCTGTGTGCACTGATGACTGTGGAACACAGGCCTCAGAGCTCATTCAGGTCTACACTCAGCTCTGCTTTCCCTCTTAGTTCCACTGTGAGCCTCAGGAAGCCACTAACCTTGTCTCGGCCTCTTTATCATTATTTATAATATGAACATAGAAAGAGTATCTATGTCACAACAATCCTCTGATTATTAAATGCCATGACGGTTAGCCAAGGTTCAGTTTCTTGGTAAGTGCTCAATAAACCAGTGAATCTACACACCAGCCATGACAGCACACATGCTAAATGGATCTACTCTTCATTCCATGCATGATGGACAGACCTATCAAACGGACCAAGCATCCTCTGACTGAGAAAATGCTGGACTGAGGATATAGGATCTGCAACTCATGCTTGAGCTAGCCATGGCCTCTGCATGGAGTGGATTCTGGCCCCATGCCCTCCCTATTGCCACACTGAGCTCCACAAGGTACCTGTGTCCTCCGGGGAGCCATAGGAGGGGCTGCCCTGTGATAAGGTGGCCCAGCTTGAGTCCTCGTCACTGGCTGCACTGTTCCGCATGCCAAATAGGAGGCTAGCACTCTTGCTATGTTCCCGGGGGCCGTCTGTGAGGGCCTGGGGCCCAGAGGGGACTTGCACATTTTCCAGAGGCTCAGGCGGCCCTGGAGGAGAAGACAAGTCTTCCTCATCATCCTCTTCTTCCTCGTCTTCATCATCCTCCTCAGCTTCTCCTGCTGCCTTCTCCTCTCCTTCATCTGGTCCCTGCTCCTGGGTGTTGATGATCAAGCCTGAGCCACAAAGCCCTCGGTTGGCTGCATTGTGGGCGGAGAGCTCCAGCTCAGAGTATAGATGCATCAAGCCTTTGGGACCCAAAGGTGCTGTCTCAGCCTCCTGGCTGGCCTCCTCTGCCAAGGTCAAGGTCACATTTCGGTTCTGGTCTCGGTGGGCTGTGGCAGCCCTCCGAAGCTGGTTCTGGCCTTCCTTTAACCACTTGGCATTGGCAGGGCCTGGTTCAGGCACACTGCCCTCCCCCATAGCACTGCGAAGGTCCTTGGGTACCACAGCTGTGGCTTGCAGCTTCGCGTTGAGCAGTTGGTTATGGGCAGCGTGCAGGGGCAGGGGGAAGCTGAGAGCAGGGCCTCCGTGGCTGTTAGCATTAATGGCCGACTGGCTCAGGGATGATGGAACAGACATGGCCTTGGTAGATCCTGTGAGACAGGGGGGAGAGACCATGTTGAGTGTTCCTATTTCTATTACAGTTTTAGGTCCTGTCCCTCATCTTGTAACTCAGTAGGCTGGCACACACCAATCGAAGGTACCTGTCCCCACAACCCCTCCCCCATCACAAGCCAAGCCCAGCTCTGCAACCTATCCTTTTCCCTGGTGTTCTGGGGCAGCGCAGTGGTGCCTGCTTTCTCTTCCCTACCAGCGTGTCTGCACAATGGCTCTCTGTGCATCCCCATGCCCCACTTGACCAACCGGGGCTCACCGTGCCAGGGACACAGACAGCACAGGACAGGCTCCAGTGTTTTGGATACTGAACAGACTATCCCTTCCCTCCAGCCACAGTGCTATCTGGAGCCTCATCACTGCCAGCCCCCTGGGCTGTGTGCCCTTCATTATAACTCACTACTATCAGCCATCCCTGGGCCCACTCTAGACCAGGGACCCGTCAGACAGGAGTGATGGGTGTGCAGAGCCAGCATATATTGTCCAAGAGAGCAGGTCACAGAAGAAGGGCCTTCAGCTCCAGTTCTTCGCTCCCCGAACTATAGGCAATGTCTGCCTGTGAAATATCTCACCTAGGGCACCAGTCTCCCCTGCCAGCCCTTATGATGCCATGGTCACCCCAGAAGCTCCTGATCTGGAACCTTCAGCCTTTCAGGTCTTTGTCCAAGGACCCCTTTATCAGGAAGACTTTCCCTACATATCCATTTCAACCCAACTCAGTAACCCCCGTCTCCCTAGGCATGGGCCATCACCCACCACACTCATTTAGCATTTGTATTTGCTTACTGATCTCCTCATAGCTAAGTTTCACGTTGGTGAGACTTCTGTATTATTATTGTTGTTGTTATTATTATTTACAATACTGTACTCTCAGCCTCTACCAACATAGAGCAAGAAGTGGGAGCCAAGTAATTTGCATTCATTGAGTAAGTGTACAAACCTACCCTCACACCTCCTCGGAAGAAAGCACTTCATTCCACACCCTGGATCTGTCTGTCTCAGCAGTAGCTCAAGGTATCTCAACCACATGCCTCCTAGTCTGTATGAGAAAGGGAACCTCTTGTCTACAATGCCAGCCCCTTCTCAGGTGTCTTCCTCAACAGCCCCAACCAGGTTTTCAGTATAACCTATCCTCTGAGGGTCTCTGGGATTCCTCACAAGGCCCAGTCCACCCTTCTCACTGTCCCTGGCCTGCTCTGGAACTCTCTTTATGAACCCTGCTCTCCCTGAAACCCCCAACACTAGTTCTTCCTCCTTGACCAACCACTACTCAACTCTCCCTCACTCTCAACTCACTGCAGTACCTCCCTCAGCCAAGCTTTCCTGCCACCCCCCCCCCAACAGCTTCCCTCAAAGCTCTCTCTTCCTACTGGACTCTTTTCTGTGCACACAAATCCCCAGCACCCCAACAAGCACTGTGGGTCTTCCTTTCTGATTGCAGCTCTTTTCCTTATCTTATCTAACACCCTGTCTCCTTACTCTCTAGCCTGAGATGTCTGACCCCGGCCTACCACCGCCTTAGTCCTCCCCACTGACCACAGTGAGTGCAGGTGTTACAGGAGGCCTGAGCTCTCCCATCTCCTCAGGCATGGCCCAATACCCTGAGACAGGAGCCAAAGTCTGCATCTTTTACCATCTCGAGCTCCTGGGAATCTAGCACAAGGCTGGGAATACTTGTATAAAATAGGTGAGAGAAGGCAGATCGGTCTGAGTTTAAACCAACTGCTGGACTGATCAGTGTGGCTCTACCTGGGCTCTGAGGAAACTCATGGTCGCTGGAATAAATGAAGGGGAAAAAATAGGCAGTTCTGTCTCCACCCAGAACCACAGTAATTTTCCAAAAATGGAAACCAGATTGTGTCACTCCCTGGTTGACAAAATTAAAGGGCTCACCGCTGCCTTTAGGATACAGTCTGAGCTCAGTTTACAGGACACCTGAGAGGCCACTGCAGCCAACCCCTAGTGCCTCTCTGGCCACCCCTCCCCCTCACACCTTATCCTCAGCCATATAAAGTATGAGAGGTTCTGGTACACGTCAAACAAAACCCCCCAGTCTTTGTTCACAATGTTCCCTTAGTTGGAATCTATCCCTTCTTGTAAGATTCTCTTCTTGTATTTCAAATCTTTCCTCAGCATTCAAGGCTCCTAAGCAACCTTCCCTGAATGTTCCTCTCCTTCCAAGGGCCATCCCCTTTCTGTGCTGCATAACACCCAGTGTCACATGCTATCAGGAAATTCTGTCTTACTCAGTATTATAATACCATCATAAAGGATAATATGTTCTGTGTCTGCCAGAGTGACCACTGTGAAGAAGGAAAGGACAGATGAAGGTGGACAGATGGGGGAACTAAGAACCTGGAAGCTTCGAACTGGCTGGGAACTGATATCAAGAAAGCTTGTACAGACATCTTGGGCTAGAGAAGACAAAGGCGACCTTAGAAAAGGAACTGGGGAATGATGAAGGAGCCCTGACAGGGACAGTGAGGCAGAAGTCCTGCCCAGATGAGGTTCAGGTCTGGGGGGTGGGGGGAGAAGCAGGAAGAGAAAGCATTTAAAACAAAGTTCTGGCTTAACAATTGTTCCATGACAGCATCTCGAAGAGAGCCCATGCTTCTGGACAGCTCTCAGGACCTCAGGAAGGATGAGTTCTTCTCTGAAGCAATGGGGGACAAAGCCATGCCTCTAAGTCAGGCTGGGGCTGACTTTCCTAACACTGGAGGAAATGTACCTGAGGAGAACACATGTTTTGAGACACTGGGGTCAGTGAAGGGCCAGGATGACTTTAGGGCAGCCCTGAGCATCAGGGCGCCAGGGCAGAAAGAAGTTTAAATAAGATAGGGAAAGTCTGTTGTAAGCACTGAGGCCCAGCTGTCTAGCCTGAGGCAATGTGGCCACTACATTCTTGCCAAAAATATAAGCAGCTACTAGGTTCTTCAAGAGAAAGCATAACCCAACCTTTCCTCTCTCAGTAGCGTTATCCATACTTGGGGCATCTCAGAGAACAAAAAAGGGGCCAACATGGTTCATTAGTTAAGGGAGCTTGCCAAACAGCCAGGTGACCAAGTTCAGTTCTCAGTACCCACAGGGTGGAAGGAGAGAATCAGCTCCATAACTTGTCCTTTGGCCTTCATACCTTTATATCTTCTCTGTGTCACATGCAGACCTGCACCTCCCTCCCCCACAAATATAAACATATGAGCTTTTGCTCAAGGCACCAAGCTGAACAGGGCCTTGAGGTAGAGACTAAAAGGAAGGGTCACACAGCCTGAAAAAGCTGACATCACACCATAGGTGAGTGAGCCAAGTCCTGGTCCAAGCCAGGGGTCTTCCAACCTGACAACCTATGAGATGCCAAGTACTGCACCAGCCATGGGGAGGGCATAGGAAACAGGAAATGTTTTCTTCCCTAGAGGAAGTCACACTCTAGGGAGTCACTGAACAACCCTTACAGCATGGAAGGATGACAATCTCTAGGACAATTCCTAGCACCTATAAGCACTTTCTTCTTCTTTATTTGAATGAGGTTATTCCTGTATTTTGTGTGTGGGCACACCTGCACCACAGCACATGTGTGAGAAAAGCTTTTGGGAGTCTGTCCTCTCCTCCACCTGTGGGGCCTGAAGATCTGGCCTCAGGTCACTGGGTGTGGTGGGACCACCTTCACCTGCTGAGGCCGTCTCACCACCTATTGATCAGCACTTTCTTTCTCTTTTTCTTAAGAAGCACTTTTTATTGGTGGAACAAGTGACAGGCACGGAGATGGAGAAAGATTACCAGCCACCACCTGAGCCTATGGTTTATCATAGCTCTAACAATGAAGCCTGCCAGTGCATCAGTCTTGAACCATCCTTCAGCTCTCCCATTTTCTCCATCTCCTTTACAAATTCAGGGAAGAAGGGGGAGTCATTAATTGGGGAATATCTTCAAACATCCAAACCAGAAGAATCTATTCTCCTTCCTCTTGTTGCCTAAAACCAAGGGCTACACCTACTGTTTAGATCCTCTCATCATAAGAACAAGGTATTTCTTGGCCTGAACCTCACTCTAAGCCCTCAGGGTTCACGTTCTCCTAACACTCATTATAGACATTTCCTCTCTTCTCTTTTGGCTTTTTTAACCCTGCTTCCATTCTCAGTAAGACTTAGTAACAGCATCTACTAGGTAAACATGGCATTTAACCCATTGGATGCCTGGTCACCATGAATATTTTCAGCAGAATTTAACCCCATGAGCCCCTCATCCAGTGTTCATTCATAGCTCCCATGTTCTACATTCCTGGATTTCTCTCCATGCATCTGGCTCCTGGTCTGTTTGTTTGGGGCCTGTTAAAACTTCCTTGCTGGCTCATCCTCCTCTCAGCCATTCCAGGCTGTTTCTCAGCTTTTTTTCTTCCTTGTTCTGTATTCAATAGGAGTATTCATTCATGCCCACATTTTCAGTTACCATCTACACAATGATTTCCAAATGTCAAGCTCTCTCATCTGAACTCCAGACATGCACATTCACCTCTCTACCCAAAAACTCACATCTAGCTGTCCCCAAGGCCTCTCAAATTCCTATCCTATCTATCTCATTCTCTTCCAGGATGTGGGTCCCTGGGATGAAATGACCACCCATTCTGTTGTTCA